CCCCCAGGCTCCATTGCCGACCACTACCACAAACCCCTCCTCGCCGTCTCCACCACCCCCTTCCCTGTCTCCCTGACTTCGACCTGGGTAAGTATACTGTCGATTAGGACTGTTCACGAGCCAAGCCGAATTCAGACAGAGCCATGTTAGCTCGCTCGGAAGCAGCCAGCTCGGCTCGGCTGGGTGATGCCAACGAGCTGCATATGGGTGGCTCGGCTCTGTTAAGCCTGAGCGGCTCGTGAGTGGATGGACAAGGGAGGTGCATGTTGTGGATGTGTTGTGAGTCATGATGGTCATCGCCGGCCACCAGGGCGTGCCCATGTGGCCGTGACCAGCCGGTGCATGCCAGAGCAAGTGGTGGTGCGGCATTGAGGCGGAGGGCACGCACCTGCCGACGTTGGTGAGGACGCAACACAAGCAGAGAAGAACATGGGTGGGCAACGCGTGAGCATATGTGTGCGTGTGTGCGCTCGGCGACGAAGCATGCCTGTGTGCGTCTGGCGGGGACGGATTATGGATGCGTTGGGAAGAAGAAGAGAATGTAAGAGGGAGGGAGGTGCGAGCGACGGCTGTGTGCGGCGGCGAGGGGGGATGGATGCATTGCATGGGTCAGTGGGTACATGCTGCTCGTCTAGGTCACCAAATAAGGATAGCTTCGTATTGGGCTTGGGCTGCTCTTGTAGCCTATACATTTCGCTGCTAATTTAAAAAAAATACTGGGCTGAAAACGAGCCACAGCCCCAACATTTCGCCGCCAGAGTCGTTCGAGCCCCAACGATTCACTGCCTCCCCTGTATTCTTGCTTCACCAGCCCCAACTGCGACCACAACGTCTGTGTCCTCCCCTGTCTCCTCCAACACCAACCCCCACAAGTACGTCGGTGGCTACGCCCTGCTCATCCGCAGCCGCCACCTACTATTATTTCCCCCTTCCCGGCGACGCAATCCATGTTGATCACACTCTCATAGATGGAACAGAGTGTGGGGAGGTGAGATGCACTGCCCTTCGCCTTCTGATCTGACAAAGACCAATGTATGGGTATTGATGAAGAAGAAAATCTTCTTCTGCAGTTGCAGATATGTAATGGTAACATATGGAAGAAATGCCTATTCTGTAGTTGCTCGGCCTGACTCAACTCGGCACGGCAAGGCTCTAATTATAGGTTCGTCCTATTTTTTTTACTCGATTGTTGCATAAGAAATGCCAGAAGGAAGATGGGACATGAACTTGGCTCTTGAGCTCAAATAATATCAATAAAATTTAAAAAAATCTTTTTGGAAACACACATGTAGAACTATTTGTGCAACATTTCATGAAAAAATAACATCAATGTTGGACTAGAAAAATAAACAAATCGTTAAAAAACTATTTTTACAACTTTTTTTTGGCAAAGCACCACAAGTGTTTTTTCTTCATGAAGTTTTGCATGCAGCTTGAACACTGGAACGTGTTTGTTTGCAAGAATAGGTTTGTTATGTTTGCTATTCTGTCTGCATTTACTCTTCACCCGGATGCTTATGAGCTCAAAAGCAGAATGAATATATCCAAAGAAACATATTGATATTTGTTACACATGAGATGACCACCACATAAGTTGTGAAATAAACTACTCTAGATCAATGCATTTTGGTTAGCCGTGCAACACACGGGCATCTTACTAGTACTAATTAAGTTGATGAGTTTTGTTCAGCATAGGATGCTTTCTGTTGTAGAAGAGAACACATTACTTAATTTGTAGTGCAGCTTTGGGTGGTAGGTAGGCTAACGTAGGTTTAGATCTTCTGATGCTGGAGGTAGAAGATTGATCCTAACTAAAAGTGCTTTTTCACCCAAAGAAAAATGGAAAATCTATGTCTATATCAGCCAGAAGCAAAGAACCTTCTCCGGTGCTATTGCCACCTTTGTCATACTAATTAAGTTAGTGGGTTTTGCGCAATATTTTTTCATGTTGTTGTCCAACAAAACCCATTTACTTACTTAATTGTATTGCAGTTTGGGTGGTAGGTAGGCCAACAAATGTCTGGACTAGATATAGGTTTAGATCTTCTAATGCTGGAGGTAGAAGATTGATCCTAATTTACCTTTTCTTTTTCTTCTATAAATATTTTTTTTCTATGTGCTTTTGCTACCCAAAAAGAAGAAGAAACATCCATGTCTAGATGAGCCAGAAGCAGAGAACTTGTGTACCAGTGATGCTCCCACCTTTGACATGCTCTTTTTTTTTGAAGCTCCTTTGACATGCTCATTAAGTTGATGAGTCTTGTGCAATACTTTTTTTTTTCAGTTGTTGCCCAACAAAACACATTACTTACTTAATTGTAGTGCAGCTTTGGGTGGTACGTAGGTAGGCCAACAAATGTCTGGACAAGATATAGCTGGATCCTCTGATGCTGGGGGCACAAGATTAGTGCTAATTGCATATGGATGTGTAAATAAGTACTATATTGAAGGAATCGGTTCCTTGTGTCTTATGTTGCGTGGCATGTGGTGTGGCTGTGGGCAGCAGGGAATTTCCAGCCACAAGTCCATGATGGGACACAGAATGATGAGCTCCAATTTTCAGTGGGTAATATCCTAGTCAACAGCATGACCTATACATCAGAAAAATTTAACCTGCATCTAGAGAGGAATTCGAACACTAGCTAGTATTAGCAGCACTGGTAGTACTTGATTACCCTAACTGGTACACTAGTTTAATGAACCACTAAATTAGCCACAAGTTTTTTATGTAGCCAGGTTCAGCTCCGATTAGGACAGGCATATAGATTGTGGGATGAACCTTCTTTTCCATGATAGGCAAGGTACAATTGATGGGAGTATTTAACATTCATCGACATCCAATTAACATACTACACTCATTAGTTGGAGTAGAAAATTAGCTATCCATCCATGATAGGGGAGGAAGAACACATATGTATCACTTTGGGTATCTCACACTGAATTTGTTCCCCAAAGTGCGCATGCCATCATCAGGTCGCAGGGCTAAGCTTCAACTTTGATTAATACTCCGGTTGTTCTTATCTTGTTAATTACTCCTAGTTTACTGGGTGCAGAAGAGAATAAACCCCTTCTTTCTTCTCTCTTTATTTACTTGTACTTGCATAAACCCCTTTTGACCATGGAATTGAACCATGGCAGGCATCCACTCTGTACTTGCTTAGCCACAGAATGCAGGACACTGGGCATCAAGATAAAGGAGATAGGACATAAAACATACAAAATCTTAATTGAACCCTACCATCACGCGAGGTCGCGAGTTGGAAAATATTAATCGATCGACATACGGCCCCCAGCGTGCACTTGTCGGCACAATTATGATGTTATTTTCTCATTTTATACATCTTTATTTAATGCAATATTTTGCAAGGGTACGGTTTGTACAGGTACCCAGAAAGTTCACTTTCCCAAATTCAGAAACACATGATTGATAATCATAAGCAGAGAGCAGATCATGATGGGAAATGGAGAGATGTAGCAGTACTAGATTAGGATCGCACAACAGATTTTGCCTGCAAAAAGGAAGGATTTAGATAACAGAAAACAAAGCTGTAGGTTGCAGCTGTCGACCGGCAGATTCTTGGAAGTGAAGGAACAGGATTCGGCAAACGTTTGTGTCGACTAATGATGATAAGAATCCTTCTATCAGACTCGGAGTAGACTCTACAGTTGACAAAGTCATTGTGCGAGCATCTGATCTACCCCCCCTTACCCATACCGGCCGAAAGGATTTGACTGCCATTTTGCGGCGGCGAAAGAGAACATATTCTCCTTCCAGATGAACAACGGTTCGAGATGGCGAACTTGCGAGATGTTGAACCGACTGATGTTTACTCTGAGAGTCTTGTGTGTGAAGGTTCCCGCAAATAATTGTGTTCAAATTTTGCAGTGGTCTTCAGTCTGATGGCTGATGTCTGAAAGACCGGGCATCTGAACAATCTTTTGCCGATCTCGTGAAAAAAGGCGATGAAACGTCGGGGAATGGATCTGCCGAGCATGAAAAGATGGCATAAAGGCAGAGATGAAGGGACTGAAAGTTCAAAGGGGGTTTAAGGTTGAAATACAAGCACGAGCTTTCCGTGGCCTCTGGGCCTGTACTGTACTGACAATGCAACGTGGAAACAGATTATGATATATGCTAAAGCAGATGAGCAAAGGACCGATTCCATCAGAATGCAATCCAGATGCATTATACGAACACTGCACACTACAGAAACCCATGCAATTAGAATGCAGAACAGTGTAGCTCAAGCAACAAGAGAATGCGCGAGCAGGATCATCGAAAAGGCCGAAAGCCACCAGAGGACCAGGTGAGCTGCTCCTCGGTTTGCAAGATGTTCGGATAGCGCCACAATTCGCATAACGAACACTACAAGATATAGGAGCATCCCGTTGCTGCTGTTCCGGTAATCCGGGGCATATATCTTGGAACTGAAATCCACATACATTACACGAACAAACTGGAGGCCCAAATTACACGAAAACGACCAATCCAAGTGCAGAACAGTGTAGATCAAGCCACAAGAGAATGTGCAAGCAGGATCAGCGAAAACCGTACAAAGAGGAACAGATGAGCTGCTCCTCAGTTTGCAAGAACAATGTTAACAAGATGCCTTTTGTAGGACAAAAGATGTTCAGATAACACCACAATCCACATATAACAAATACAAGAGATATATATCTATACCCCCATTGTTCCTGCTCCGGTAATTCGGGGCACCAAATGTCTTAGGAGGACAAACATGTACCTGAAAGGAAACATGATAATGCTCTGAAACTGTAGTAAGTCTGACTGACAAACAATGGTCTCTACCAAAAATTTGCAACTACACACGGTATCTACCAAGGATAATTTCTTTCTAGCAGTATGAACTTTAATACAACCCCACCAGAATTACAGGCCAAAAGGAGTCAAAAGGGACCGAACTAACACCTAGACACCTAGGGCGCCGTAAGATCCATGTGAGCATCCTTTTGCAGAATCACCACTTCTCTGTTCGCACCTAGGTAGAACAGCACCCTTTCTTTGTGTTGCCAGATGAATCGGCAACATTGATGGTGGTTCCTTGAGTCGGAGGTCCACTTCCTGCAGCCTCCTGGGCAGCGAGCGCCTTCTTGCTTATGATCTGATGGATGTCGGAAAGGATAGTCTGAAACGCCTTCTCGACGTTCAAGGCTTCCAGTGCCGAGGTCTCAAGGAAGGATAGCCCTTCCTTCTCTGCTAATGCCTGCCCTTCTTCCTCTTGAACTGACCTCAGGTGGTTAAGGTCGGATTTGTTTCCAACCATCATGATGACAATGTTGGAGTCAGCATGGTTACGGAGCTCACTAAGCCACCTATTGATGTTTTCAAATGATAGCTTCTTTGTTATGTCATACACCAAAAGAGCTCCCACAGCTCCCCTGTAGTAAGCACTTGTGATTGCACGGTACCTCTCTTGGCCAGCAGTATCCCATATCTGAGCTTTAATGGTCTTGCCTTCTACCTGTAATCATACTTCCAAACTCAATCAGAAAACCAACAGAACTAAAATGGTAATTCAGACAATACCTCAAAGAAATGGAACATGAAAATTCACTTGCTAAAACATAACTTGTCAGAGACATGGACATGGCAATAAAAAAAAGCATATAGTAGATGCATTATTGCAGAAAAAGTCCGTGCAATGGAAATAGATCGTGAAGTCTGACTATGCTGGAGCTTTAACCTGAATACATGGTAGAATTAAACAGCTCCTTAAACATAAAAGTTTAAGTACTCTTTTAAGATGTACTACCTCTGTTCTCCTTAAACATAAAAGTTTAAGTACTATTTTAAGATGTACTACCTCTGTTCCTAAATATGAGACGTTTTGGCAGTTCAAACTAAACTGCCAAAACATATTATATTTAGGAACAGAGAGTGTAATAGATTGATCAAGAACCTCTTCTACATAAACAGGCCCTGCTTCCAGAGATGAAACATCAAAAGCTCTGATCCATAAATTATGAGAGTACAGTGCTCAGACGCTCCATGAACTACGTCAGCCATTCAAATTCAAGTGCCAGCGGAAACCAAATGTCCTGCATAACTAAAATTGCTTGCCAGTTTATGAACATTTGTTCCAGTGAAACTACTGAGAAAGAAGCACGGAACTTACAAACTGTAGACAATTCCCATAGTTTCTATAAACTAGCAAAACAAGTGTTAGTCACAATTGCAAGTTTCCTTTTTCTTCTTGATTGAGGAAAAAACGGACGCTATAAAAGTCAGATCTGATTTAAAGTTGACACTGCCCTTGCAGACTCAGCTTAGCCCATTTCTCTGCGACCAATTCCAAGGGCCTCCTGACCACAGATAAAACAAACGGCACGCACAACACAATGATGCGAAAAAGCAACCGTGGGTACTAGACTAATCAATAGGCAACACGTGCAAAAGAGACATCATCGTCAAAGAGATTAGCTTAATTTGGAACGATCTAGATCAAAACATGTACATCGAGAGCGCATGCATCGCCAGACCACTAAAACCGTGGAGGGGGAAAATGGAATCCCTAGATCGTGATCGCGGGAAGGGGAGGGGGCGGAGAGATGACCTGGAGGGTGCGGGTGGCGAACTCGACGCCGATGGTGGACTTGGACTCGAGGCAGAACTCGTTGCGGGTGAAGCGGGAGAGGATGTTGGACTTGCCGACGCCGGAGTCGCCGATGAGCACGATCTTGAAGAGGTAGTCGTACTCGTTGTCCACCCGGTGCGCCATGTGGCTCCGCCGCCGCCCGCCGACGCGGATCCTGCACCAACCGCGCGGCCGAGATCCAGCCGAGGCGGAGATCAGTCGGTAGGTGAGGAGACGGAGGAAGGGAAGGGAGGGGAGGGGATCGAGCGAGGCGCGGGATCCGGCGAAGGCGGAGGGGATCGCGCGTACCTGGGATTCGATTCGGTTGCGGATTCGCCGGTGGGGGAGGGAGGGCGCGCCGGAGAGGGGAGGGGGGGAGGAGGTGGGTGGAGGAAGGAAGGAAGGGGGGATGGAAAGAAACGGAAACGAAACGTGAGGCGAGTGGGGGCGGTGGTGGGTATACAGCGGCCAGCGGGGCAGCCAGCCCAAGGCCAAATGGGTTGCTGGTTAATTATTGATGGGGCTTAGTTTACAATTATCATCAACGTTTTGTTTTTAGAAGATGGAATCACCACTATTTTATTATTACTATTTGGGGCCAGGGAACGAAAACGTTAATAACAAGTGTTTTTATTACGTTATTAATTATATAAAACACAAATATTCAGGCACCGTTTTCAGTATGTTGAAATGTCAAAAAATGTGTTGAAGAGATGCAACCATCTACTACCTCTGTGCTATAATGTAAGACGTTTCTTTAGGAAGGGGCTTCTAATAGCAACTCCAACACACGACTCAAAATGGACGTCTGTTTTGTTCGGACTTTGTCTGTTTAGAGATGACAATGAGGTGGTGTCCATTCAGATTTGTCGACGCGTCGGCCGTGCGCCAACACGCGGCCTCATCTTGGCCGCATCTCGTCCGCATATATTTTTTCGCCTCATTTCATATTACTTCATCAACGGTTTTTGGATACATTAAAGTACATTCATCAAATCTTGACTAGAATAGTAAGACTAAAGAAAAACAAGAACCACAAAAAGACATTTTAAAAGATGTCAAATTTCCATAACTGCTTCCAGAAGTTGGATTAGTATCTTGTTGATTCTTTCATTGTTGATCTACGGATTCTCCATCTTGCATATTTCTTTCTTCTTCGAGTCTAAAGAAGTAGACGTTACTTCTTTGCATCTAATCGCATCTCTAGCATCTATTGTAGCAACAAGTGCACAGACATCTATCAAATTTCGTTCTATCAATAGATGGACACCAAAAATTGCATCCATCCCACACAATAAAAATTTGAGTATAAGCAAAATGCACCGAATCCGGAGGCACAACCGAAGCTAAACTAGTACATACCCCCATCGTTTTTGCACTTGCCGAACACCCATCCGGAATGTTCCGGCGTTGTAGACACGCGGCGCACGACCTTCCGTGGACAGTCGTAGCACTTTATGAGCGACAATGGTGCGCCGATGATCCTTTGGGCCAGCACCGAGCCCGGACGGCAGCCGTTGGCTTATTTGCCGGCGAACCGTCAATGGGGTAGATCCGAGCGGCTAGAGCTGGGGCTGTGCAGTCCGATACCCGGCTAGTCCATGGTGCGACGCGGCCTCCGGCAGCTGGGTGAGCTCAAATCCGGCCGCATATGCTCAAAATCTAGCCGTCGGATGCGCTGAAATCAGGCGGCCGGGGTTGGACAGCTCCTGGTGTTGAGAAAACGGGGGCTGTGAAAAGGGTAGGAGCGAGCGCGCGACCGAGAAAAATGGCGGCAGTGGCCGCTAGGGACGGGAGGGAAATAGATAATGGGGCGCATGTGTCCCCGATGGGCAAGCCAGGGAAGGACATGGGCACGCGTCACTCCTATCTGCGGGTGTCCATTTGACTACAAACGCGGCCCTGAGCTGGGCCTGAAATGGATCGAAAGCGGACTGAAAATGAACATTGGTCTGTTTGCTCCCGCGCGTTGGACCGTCTATTCTGTCCGTTTACCCCAAACGGACGCGGCCGAACTATTTGGGGTCGTGCATTGGAGTTGCCCTAAGACCATTGTTGGGGAACGTAGTAATTTCAAAAAAATTCCTACGCACACGCAAGATCATGGTGATGCATAGCAACAAGAGGGGAGAGTGTTGTCCACGTACCCTCGTAGACCGAAAGCGGAAGCATTAGCACAACGCGGTTGATGTAGTCGTATGTCTTCACGATCCGACTGATCAAGTACTGAACGCACGGCACCTCCGAGTTCTGCACACGTTCAACTCGATGACGTCCCTCGAATTCCGATCCAGCCGAGTGTTGAGGGAGAGTTTCATCAGCACGACGGCGTGGTGACGATGATGATGTTCTACCGACGCAGGGCTTCGCATAAGCACCGCTACAATATGATCGAGGTGGATTATGGTGGAGGGGGGCACCGCACATGGCTAAGAGATCAAGAGATCAATTGTTGTGTCTTTGGGGTGCCCCCCTGCCCCCGTATATAAAGGAGTGGAGGGGGAGGGCCGGCCCTCTCTATGGCGCGCCCTAGGGGAGTCCTACTCCCACCGGGAGTAGGATTCCCCCTTTCCTAGTAGAACTAGGAGCCCTTCCAAGTAGTAGGAGTAGGAGGGAAGGAAAGGGAAGGGAAAAGGAGAAGGAAGGAAGGGGACGCCCCCCTCCCTAGTCCAATTCGGACCAGCCCATGGGGAGGGGTGCGACCACCCTTTGAGGCCTTCCTCTCCTTTCCCGTATGGCCCATTAAGGCCCAATACGAATTCCCGTAACTCCCCGGTACTCCCGAAAATACCCGAATCACTCGGAACCTTTCCGATGTCAGAATATTGTCATCCAATATATTGATCTTTACGTCTCGATCATTTCGAGACTCCTCGTCATGTCCCCGATCTCATCCGGGACTCCAAACTCCTTCGGTACATCAAAACACATAAACTCATAATATAACCGTCATCGAACTTTAAGCGTGCGGACCCTACGGGTTCGAGAACTAGATCTCATCCGGGACTCCGAACTCCTTCGGTACATCAAAACATATAAACTCATAATATAACCGTCATCGAACTTTAAGCGTGCGGACCCTACGGGTTCGAGAACTATGTAGACATGACCGAGACACGTCTTCGGTCAATAACCAATAGCGGAACCTGGATGCTCATATTGGCTCCCACATATTCTACGAAGATCTTTATCGGTCAGACCGCATAACTACATACGTTGTTCCCTTTGTCATCGGTATGTTTACTTGCCCGAGATTCGATCGTCGGTATCTCAATACCTAGTTCAATCTCGTTACCGGCAAGTCTCTTTACTCGTTCCGTAACACTCATCCCACAACTAACTCATTAGTTGCAATGCTTGCAAGGCTTATAGTGATGTGCATTACCGAGTGGGCCCAGAGATACCTCTCCGACAATCGGAGTGACAAATCCTAATCTCGAAATACGCCAACCCAACAAGTACCTTCGGAGACACCTGTAGAGCACCTTTATAGTCACCCAGTTACGTTGTGACGTTTGGTAGCACACAAAGTGTTCCTCCGGTAAACGGGAGTTGCATAATCTCATAGTCATAGGAACATGTATAAGTCATGAAGAAAGCAATAGCAACAAACTAAACGATCAAGTGCTATGCTAACGGAATGGGTCAAGTCAATCACATCATTCTCTAATGATGTGACCCCGTTAATCAAATGAGAACTCATGTCTATGGCTAGGAAACTTAACCATCTTTGATTCAACGAGCTAGTCAAGTAGAAGCATATTAGTGACACTCTGTTTGTCTATGTATTCACACATGTATTATGTTTCTGGTTAATACAATTCTAGCATAAATAATAAACATTTATCATGAAATAAGGAAATAAATAATAAATTTATTATTGCCTCTAGGGCATATTTCCTTCAACCATAACGTGTCAATTTTGTCTGGGAGTAGTGTTCTAGGCAAAACGGGTGTCTTCCATGATACATATCTGTTTAGAGAAAAACGGAAGACAATAAACAATAAATGAATTTGTGTAATTTGGACTAATGGTCAAGTTACATTATATAAGATTTTCCCTTATTTAGTTATTATAATTCTTTTGAAAATATAATGCACTGATTGACTTTTCTGGCCTTCGTTGCAAACCTTTAACTTTGATTTTCACGTATTATATGTCTAGACTGCCAGTTCAAGTCTTCCTTCATGGCTCAAATACAGTGCATGCACCTTTGTCATGCATTGGCATCGGTGAGTAGAGACACGGTCGCACATGATAGCTTCACGTGGACCTGCTCGAGTTTAGGAGGAAACACAGTTAAATTCGTGTACAACAGTCTATGCTCTGGGCTGCCAAGATCCCCAATGGTAGCATGTGTTTGGAGGACTTGGGCGCCTCACAAGTGCAAGATCTTTGTGTGGTTGGCGATGCAATACAGAATTTGGACGTCTGACAGGAGAGCTAGACATGGTGAAGAAAATATGCCCTAGAGGCAATAATAAAGTTGTTACATATATTTTCCTTATATCGTGATAAATGTTTATTATTCACCCTAGAATTGTATTAACCGGAAACTTAGTACATGTGTGAATACATAGACAAAACAGAGTGTCCCTAGTATGCCTCTACTTGACTAGCTCGTTAATCAAAGATGATTAAGTTTCCTGACCATAGACATGTGTTGTCATTTGATGAACGGGATCACATCGTTAGAGAATGATGTGATGGACAAGAACCATCCGTTAGCTTAGCATAATGATCGTTAAGTTTTATTGATATTGCTTTCTTCATGACTTATACATATTCCTCTGACTATGAGATTATGCAACTCCCGAATACCGGAGGAACACCTTGTGTGCTATCAAACGTCACAACGTAACTGGGTGATTATAAAGATGCTTTACAGGTGTCTCCGAAGGTGTTTGTTGGGTTGGCATAGATCAAGATTAGGATTTGTCACTCTGAGTATCTGAGAGGTATCTCTGGGCCCTCTCGGTAATGCACATCACTATAAGTGTTGGGGAATGTAGCAGAAATTCAAAATTTTCTATGCATCACCAAGATCAATCTATGGAGTAATCTAGCAACGAGGGGAAGGAGAGTGCATCTACATACCCTTGTAGATTGCTAATCGGAAGCGTTCAAGTGAACGGGGTTGATG